ATACTTTTTGTGCGCAAAGAAAACATAAATAATGAAATTTTTTTCAATGATTTCTTCTCTTCTGGGTCAGTCTCCGCCGCCATTGCCTGTCTATGCAGTCATAGAGCTCTCATATTTCATGAAAAATATCTTACTTTGTGTTCTGAAGATGAATGAAAGTCTTGCGCGTTTGTAACGACATGAGGGTGAGTAATTAATGACAGAATTTTCATTTTTGGGTGCAGTAACCCATTAATTAAAAAGCAGTTACCGTAAATAATTAAAATATAAAGTTATATAATTGTATGACTTGTACACGGACCGCTTCTCCTCATCATCATCCTCGGTTACATGTTGGGCCAGCTCTTGGTTGAGGATAGGGCAGTCATCAGCCACATCAAACAGGGATATCTCGTCACGGATATCATCCTCTTTGGTCTCCGAAGCAAACACACGCTCTGCAATCGCACGTGTGCGATCATCCGTCTCTGATGACCAAAAAACAAAGCATGCACCACACTGGTTTTAGTGCAAATTCATTATTTAAGGAGACTGCAGCCAACCAAAGCGAAGCAAAAGGAGATGAAAACATGACTGAGGTCTAAAAGGCCCAAAAGCAATTAAAATGCATGAAGTGAGACCAACTTCTTTATGGTCTGGACATTAAGTATAAAATTAAATGTTATACTCTAAAAGCTATAAGACAAGATAAGTGACAACCAACTTGTAATTATATAAAGCATCCGAATGCTTTATATAGCGTCCGAATCCGAATGCTAGACATTTTAGAGACTCTCGTTCTAATTTTGAACTTTCTAATCAGAGCATGCTTTTGGCAAAAGAAAGACACTTTTTCAGAATGATTCAACTATTGAGTCACTGTGACCGCTAGCAGTGATGGAACAAAATCTCCCATGCAGAGATGAACGAACTATGACAAATTCATTAAGCCAAGACACACATCACAAATTAACAACAGCACAACCCAAATCATAACTTAGAAATGAACAGATAAGAAACTATGAGGCCTACATCTTAAAGCTTTTTAAGAATCATATTAAACATGCACAGAAATACACTACTTAGTCATTTGTTTGCTTATGAACTACAGTGGGGTGCAAAATGTTTCTGATTGAATAATCATTTTTACTTGCACTATTTGTTTTCATAACAATTTCAAAGTCTTTCTTGGTATTTAGTATGTCAGTGTATACAGCAGTATTCGACATCAGTGTTACAAATTTACTTACTTCATTAGTGACCTAAAACAAATTATTAAATATTTGTAATTGTTTTATGTCATAACATTTTTTGGCTTACATTTTCTTAAAACAAAGTCCTAAAACTTTTTTTGTCTCAAGATTTTTTGCACCCCATTCTATATTTTCTTCTAAAACAAACAAATGAATAAAACGGTGGACATTTGAAGCAGTTTTAACATGTTGATCTCCGACGGGTTCCTTTATACTTACTCCCTTCTGATTATTCATTTCCAAAGAGTGGGCAAGGAAGATCCAAAACATTGAAAAGAAAAGGAGGTTATAGGTTAGACTGAATTAGTAAGCAGCACATTGGAACTGTCATTTTATTCACATTTCAGGGATCACACATGCCACATTAATAACCAAAAATTATGTAATATTAAATCAGATCTCTCTGTATCGCAGGCAACCTGTAAAGCACGAGTCATGAATTTTACAATAAATTAATAAGGTTTTATATAGAAAAGAAATTGCAATGGCTGATAAAGGTAAAAGTAGAAAGTACAAAATCACATTTAAAAAAAAATCTTATCAAGTCATGCTGATCACTGTGACGTTTCCACAATCCCGAGATTATCACTGTTTTTCTCACACAGAGGCAAACTTTTGTTAGCGTTCACTTCCCATGATCATATACTCTAAAAAATGGTGCTTTGTTTCAACCCAACTTTGGGTCAAATATGGACCAACCCAGCTGTTGGGTTAAATTTTTACATTAAATTTTTAACCCAAAAGTTGGGTTAGTCCATATTTGACCCAAAGTTGGGTTGAAACAACCCAGCATTTTTTACTGGTCTAATCAAAGTCAAATCATGGGTGGATGTTGGTCCTGTGGGGCCCTCTTTTGTCACAATTGCAATTCATATTGAACAAATAACAGGAAATTACATCACAAATTTGGAAACTAAGGGCAACAATATTTTTGGACTTCCATAGTATTTTTTCAGCATTCCTCAAAATACCATCTTTTGTGTTCAACATACAATTTTGGAACAACTTGAGGGTGAGTACATTACAGCTATTGCTTTAGGTAAATGTCATGGATTGTGACAACTAAACAATTTGTTTATACACTCTAAAAAATGCTGGGTTGTTTCAACCCAACTTTGGGTCAAATATGGACTAACCCAACTTTTGGGTTAAAAATTACAGCTATTGCTTTAGGTAAATGTCATGGATTGTGACAACTAAACAATTTGTTTATACACTCTAAAAAAATGCTGGGTTGTTTCAACCCAACTTTGGGTCAAATATGGACTAACCCAACCGTTGGGTTAAATTTTTACATTCAATTTTTAACCCAAAAGTTGGGTTAGTCCATATTTGACCCAAAGTTGGGTTGAAACAACCCAGCATTTTTTAGTGTGTACTAAATAACATTCAACAGCCCCTACTAGTCCACATTCCTCTACTCTAAAACTTTCTTCAAAAATCACACAGTGTATCCACCTGGAGTTTCATGGCCAGTATGGGACGGGTACTGAGATTCCCATATCTACCAGTTCATGCCCTTTCCAAACACACAAACAATCATCCGCCTATGATTCCTCCCAATACTTACGCTTCTCCTCTGCTGGGTTAGTAACATGTACCCATCAGACATGGGACAGGATTCATGTAGAGGGGGGGGGAACGAAAATTTACGGTCACAGACAACACACATGGACCAAAACAGTCATCAAATGAAGTGTTATTTACACAATTCACTAAACTAAATAGGAGAAACAGTTACAATCACACCCCACCATCTGCCATTGGTCAGCTAAACAGATAGTCCCGCCCTAAACTCACACCATCAACCAACAAATGACTTCCTTTCTCCCGTGCAGCTTAATAATAGGCAGAGACAAATATATTAACATCTAATAAATTACACGTTTACCAGTATTTAGACTCGAGGATCTTTTACATGGGTGTGAAATCATTAATCAGATGTTTATAACGGCCTCAGCTCAGCCAGTATGTGGCCTTCCCTTCTGCCTCGAAATGATAGTGTTTCTATTTTTAAACCTGGTGATATCAGTGACTGATATCCTATCACAGTCTGCAAATTTAAATCCAGATTATTCTTAGCCTGCACATGGAAAGCAGCATGTCTAGCAATGCAAGTCTGAAATCAACCTAATATCCTACTGTGGTCATGAGTGGTCAAAATGTTAATGGTTTCACCATAAGTGTGATCATAAAAATTTAATTTTTTTTTATGTTCGGTATGCCTAAATAATCTATTTGAATTGACAAAAATGATCCTTTTCAAAAGTTTACATATGCTTGATTCTTAATATTGTGTTTTTTAGGTTTATAATAGTTATTTGTCTACTGTTTTTAAGAAAGTCTGTGATACTAATAAATTGTACTAAAACTGCAAAATACATCATAAATCAAGTTTTCATAGAGCTGAAAAAGAAAGGATTGTTACTGTAACGGCAAACTTAAGTTTGTATTTTATAGAAAACATCCTGCCTCTGTTAAAGCAAAGACAGAAGGCCAAACGCAAACACAGTACGATTAATGGGAACATGTTTCACTGTAATGAAATCAGGCACAGGTTCATATAAATGCCTTATAAATAACATGATAGTCAACACCAATAATAGTTTTAACTTCTTGATAAACCTTCACTGGCTTTCAAGAAGAGACTTCAGGCATGAAAATAAACATCGCAGCAAACCTTACTATGGTCTGTTAAAATCCCAACTAAATGCATTTTTACAGCTTTCATTGGAAGATTTAAGACATTATTTAACATGGGCTAAAAGATGGCATGCTATACAGGACGCAGAAGGTGGCATACAGATTTGGCATGTACACCAGCAGCACTATGATTCAAAAGGCCCTTAAAGTAAAATCCATGACATCGCATGCTTAAAATCTGATTGACTTTTCTGTATCTAAACCAAATCATTCTAATCATTATGTAATATATGTCAAAATATACAATTAACATCTGAAAGCAAAGAGGATAGTAACTCTAGACTCTAGAGTGAATGGAACTACAGTATATGAGACGAAAATGGTAAATGTAAATGCTAAACAAACTCTTTGGCTACAACAAAAAATAAAAAAGGGGAAAAGAAAGGCAAAAGGGAAAGAAATAAACAGAAATAATCCCACTCATTTCTGAAGAACGTCTGCGTTCACAGTATTCCTGAGCATTGAACCTGCGGATTAAGATTAAAGGGCATTTCATGTTCTCTTCTCAGGTCTGAGATTTTTGAAACGTTTAAAAGAACGGAAGATAACAGCTTTTATTTTAAGATAAATGGGGATAGTCTTATATTACATTAATCCCAATTTAAATACCATTTAAAAACCCAATTCCTCCTCTTGCCTATGAACTTAAAACGTAATTAAAACGTACTTGGGTGAATCTCAAAAAAAAAAAAAAAAAAAAAAACTGCTAAAACCAGCCAAAGATGGTTGGCTGGTCTTAGCTGGTTTAAGCTGGAAGTAACTGGTTTTAGCTGGTTATTCCAGCTGGTATCCCAGCCTGACCAGCTAAGACCAGCCTGACCAGCTTAGGAAGTGGCCAAAACCCCACTAAAACCAGTCTGCTTACCAGCTATGACCAGACTGGATTACCAGCTAAAACCAGCCAACCAGCTTAAGCTGGTTTTAGCTGTTTTTTTCATAGCTCATGACTGCTCAAAAACAGTCCAAATTTATGAAACTAACATATTAATTTTCTAACAAAACAACATCAATGTGGGATGTTTTCAAATAAAATGTGTTCGTTTTACTTTTATAAACTGTAACAGGTCCAGGTTTCCCCCTAAAAATTAAAAGAACAAATACAAAATTGTATTTTGGGTAAACAATATTAATACTATTTATAGGACTATTACGAGTTTTTGCATTTTTGTCACATATTTGTTGACAATTATGCACATCTCCCTCTAATTCTCAGAGAAAAAACTGAAATATGTATGCACCATAGTAGTAGGTGTTCGACTGCCTTTAGGCCTGTTAAAAGAAAGCATCATATTACAGTAAAATGTACTGCATCACAACAATGGGTATCACCAATGAGAATAATGGGAATTACAAATAAAACATTTGGATGCATTAAGATGAGAATTTCAGGGAGGGATGTCCATGAAAATGTTAAAATGTGGAAAAAGCTTCAAAATATTATTTCTTAATTATTCTTTACATTTTGTGGTGAAACGTGGCCATGTTTTTATGAGATGCACCCTTTTGCAATTTAGAATTTATTTACATCAACACCAATGTGCTGTGTTCATAACAGCTCAGAAGTCAAGAAAGAAGAACTCAATGCCCGTTTACATTTTTCTTCCCAATGAACAGGGAAAACCCAAGTACTAAATGAGACAAACGAGCCTCTGTTGAAACACGTAATTGTCCAATGGCCTCATTTTTCTATAACAGCAGGCCAACAGGAAAGATGACCAGTTGTGCATGAATCCCTTTCAGCCAGCAGAGGGCGAACTCTGCGCACACACGCGGTCATGAGGCTTCCAGCTGCCTGGTCATAAAACAAAAAACTAAAACAAAGGGGGAGGCAGTGCAGTCACATGACTTCACAGGACACGCCCAGACAGCCCTGCTTCCCATCTTCTCCGCTGTCCAGCTTTTTCATGCGATAATGTCGGATCTCACGGACGAGGGTGTAAAAAGCATCCTCAACTCCCTGAAAAACAGAAAATAGACAAAGGATATTTTTTAGCATTGAAGATTTATGCTTGGTTTGATATTACAGTAAAAGCAATCACCTGACAGTGAAGTGAATATAAGCAAGCTACACTAATACACAAACTGTTTCATGCAAAGCAGAGAACTGATGAACAGTCTTTGCCCACCTGTCTGGTCTTGGCAGAAGTTTCTACAAACTCAATGCCGTAGCTTCTGGCAAGTTCCTGAGCTTGCTTGGTGTCCACCGTTCTGGCCAAATCACACTTGTTCCCCACTAGGACCATGGGAACATCATCGGAGTCCTTCACGCGCTTGATCTGTTCTCTAAAAGTACATTACCATATTATAGACTTTGTGGAGAACATATTACAAACACGCCATATTTATAATGGAAATGATGACATTATTGATATGTCTTGCACTTCATCCACTTGTGTTACCACTGCTGAAAGGGGTCATGACATGAGAAATCAAATCTCTTGGCAAATAAGAGGTCTTTGTACCATTAAAACATCCTGTAAGTTTCATAGCTTAAAACATCCTCCTCATTATTAACGAAGCATTTATTTAATCAAGCTCCAAAAACGGCTCGGTCGGATCTGAGAGGGCATGATGACGTCACAGGGCTGCAAACATTTGCATAAACGCTGCCATTCTTCCATTGCCCCGCCCACTAGCGTTCAGTCGCTTGATTACGCAACGAGACACTCGCATTTAGCGTTGCGTTAAAAGCAAACAGAAATTCACACTCACCACCGCTATCTTGTCTATACTGGATATAGTATACAGATGCACGTTTCGCTTTCGGAGACACTCCACGCTCGAGTCTGTCATCAAAAGGACAATTGGAGTGAATGAATGTTCACTTTGAAGCGCAAACTTTGATAAACGTAAACTTTGATTATGTTGTCAAAACACACATCCAATAGCGAGGGAGCATTGATACTGTTTCCTATGCAATGATGTTAGACAATCCTAACAGTGGCTGATTACTGACAAGCCTTAAAAGACACACTAGGGCTGGGCGATATAGCTAAAAAAAATGTATCAACGATATAATGTTTTATATCGTTTGGTATCGATAATTATTGACTTTTTTTATAACCTTTTTTAAAACCGAGCAATAGAAAAAAAAAAGTTAAAATTTAACCACTGTATTTTTAAATTAACCCAATTTATTGAGACAAACAACAAATATTTTTTTTTTTAACAATCAAACAAATATTTTTTGTTT